AAACCAAACAACAACACTCACGTTTTGTCACCTTGGACTCTGTCAAAAAATAAATTGTTTTTCCAAAAAAAAAAAAAAATTCGCATCTGTCCTACCAAAAAAAACCAATAGGATAAATAATTAATGTGTACACGTTGATCAAATCACAAACTTCTTTTAAAAATGTCAAACAGATTCAAAAACAACAATAAAAGAAGACAAAATCAAGACTGTGAAGATATTTCAAAGTAAGTGTTTTAAGGATGGTGGTGGTGGTCACCTGCCACTCATTGTCATTAGTTATTTAAAAATAATAATTGCAATTGTTTCAACTTGTCATTCTTATTAAATTTTCAACTTGTCATTCTATTTATAACTTGTAATTTAGTGTGAGAGAAAGAATGAATAAGGAAAATATTTATGGTGACTATTCTTATAATTTAAGGGAAAGAACAAAAAAGTAATAAGTATGATAATGATAACAAATAAGAATATTAATTAAATTTGGGATTTATCTTTATTAATAAACTTGTCTTTGTAATATTAGTAGTATTAATAGAATTGGTAGCTTTAACAATAATAAAGAATTGATACCTAATAATAATTTAATTGCAACAGCACTTGATACATTTTTTCAAACATATGACTCACGAAAAGTGACATTACTGGATTTTTTCACTTGGCACATAATAAATCAAATTGCATTACCACTAGAAACCAGGAAATTGGAAGAAGGCTATTTTAAAAATAAGCTGATAAATATTATTCATGATGAAGAATGGTCACTAGGAGAAGGAGAATTATATAATGTGGTAATTAAATAGAATCATATATTATGTTCTATTAAAAATTTTTCATATAATTATATCACAAGTGTATAAAAGACATCTATTTTATTTTGAATGATTGTTATAAAAAAATTTTCTTTCATCATTAATATAATATGCTGTCTTGCCACTCTTACCATTTGTACAAATATGATTTTTTTTACCTGTGGCATATAATTCTTAGTGGTTGTCTGCTCATGATTGAAATTCACACAGTCTGGCATTAATTTCAATTTTTTTTTTAATAGTTAAAAGAGCAGGAGTTGGGGGTTGAAGGTTTTTTTGAAACATGGAAAAGAAATCCATTTGAATTTATAAATTTCTGTAATTATAAAATTAAAATATTAGAAGAAAAAAAACAATTATCAAGACTTTTAGGTGGGAATGCAAAAAAAAAGGAAATATATCATAAATATAGAAATTTATAATTATATAATTTCAGGATATGCATTCAAAATGGATGGTCAATTGAAATGGGACTACATTTGATATAGGAATGATTTTCTCAAAAACTATCAATTGGGAAAAGTTAAAATCTCTAGATTATGATGATCCTGTTCTGTCATTCATTGTTGACCTTACACATCCAAGAAATGGGCTCCATGAGACTTTGCCACAACCAGTGTACATGACAATATCAAGTGTTCCAGACTCATATACTTGTGTTTTGGACAATGATTTCAAAGCTTTAGTTAAGAGTTTTTTGTCAGACCAGGAAAGATGGGAATATGATGACTTTGGTCATATTGATAATAATTGCAAAGAATTGCCTTACTATTTTTTTGTCAGAGACCTGTGCAGACATCTGTAAGTAATTCTCAAAAAAAAATTTTTTTGTCATTATTTGTCTTTAGTCACTAACCTTTGTTTTTTTTAATAGGTTTTCAGTGTAGGAGGAGACTATAAAAGAACCATTTTGTAATGAAGGGACCTGGTCTAGGATTGTATTAGATTCAATTTTTAAGACATTGCTAAGAAAGGTGCCCAAGTGTTTTTTGCAATGGTAAGTGAATAAATTTATTTTATTTTAATAATCTTTTTAAATGCTCAAACAATCACTGTTTTTAAAATAGGGGTGAGTTGGAATCTCAAGCATCAAGATTTCGAAAGCATATTTATGGAAGAAAGCCTGATTTTTGGGTTCCTATGATGATAATTGATACCATACATGAATTTGTTTTTGAAGAAACATCAAGTGGACCATTTGTTGTTGATGACAAGAAATATATAGAAGATTTATGGAAATTATTTCGTTTTGGTCATGATTCTAAAATAATTCTTGGTTCTAGGGTTTGTATTCACAGATACCATGAATACTGTTAAGGGGGTTGCACACTAATAAATCAGCAAAAAATCCCTTAAAAACACTTGATTTTAATAGTGTGTAACCCTGTGTGACATCCTTATGGTATCCGTGAATACAAACCCTACTTGGTTGGAAGAAACTTCATAATACAGAGATTTTTTTATTCCAGGCATATGGTGCATTGTATATGCTTATATATTTAACTAAATAATTATATTATTATTCTAATTCAATAATTTATTTCTATATATAATAGGCACAAACTTAAAAATATGCATATTTGATCAACCTGGTCTACCTCTATGCAGAGTAAGAGAGATCTTTGATCTCCAAATACCATATAAAAAAACCAAAAATCATGAATTTTTTGCTAATTTTGTGGTTAGGGTTTTATTCATGAATATCATAAGGGGGTCACACATGGTCACACACTATTAAAATCAAGTGATCAACTCATGTTTTTAAGGGATTTTTTGCTGTTTTAATAGTGTGTAACCTCCTTAATGATATTCATGATATTCATGAATAAAAACCCTGTTTGTGGTTAATAAGATTGGGTCTAATTAAAGCAACCTCAACAATCAATGAAGTTTGTGGTATTGTATCAGAAAAATGTCAACAGCCTGTACAATATGTAACTCAGTCCCAACATTTTCCAATAAGTGAATATGCAACATATGATACTCCATAAAAGCAATAAAAGGTATTTGAACAGGAAGAAGTCATAAAAAGTTATGAAAAAGTAGGTATTAAATTATTAAATTGACATTTTTTATTAAATAGATTGCACAAATTTCATTTCAAGTATATTAACAATATAATTTTTTCTGTAGATCACAAACATTGCTTTGTTTTTACCACATTTCTTATTAAAAAATAAAACATTTATTGTATATTGCAAATAAATAAAATCTAATTTTATAATTATGAAAATTTACCATACAGTTACATAAAGATTCCTACCTCTTCTTTTAAAATTATTATCCACCTTTTTTACTTGAAAGAGCTAAATTTCAAAAAGTACAAGAAAATACTTAGTATTTCTAGACATCAATGAACTGGAGCTAGTGTTACTAGTGTGGACAGGTAACCCTGAACCTTCCTTCTCTCTGCATAATATCGCGTGAACGATTTATTTTTATTTTATATTTTATAATAATTTATTTATTAAATTCTTAATAAAGTTAGAATTGTAGAAGGAACTGGAACTTTGGAGAAAGTTCAAATCGAAATTCATGGAAATCCCGCAACTTGGAGTACTTGCTAGCAAGTACCAAAGTTGTACAGATGGAAAGTGAAAGAAATAATTAACAATAGTGTAGAATATCATGCAGTTTCTACTTGTTGTATAACAAAAGAAAAATAAATAATGAGTTGTAATTAAAACTTCTCAAAAAAAAGTTTTGATCTAATAATAATAATAACACTAATATTGTAACAAAAAAACAAATTATCAAATAATAAAATAAATACTTTTGCAATTCAATTTCTTCAAGGAATTAATCCTTGATGATATTTCTTATTAAAACCCTTATAATTAAATAATTATTTTAATTCCTAAGGACATCTCGAAAGGAAATAGATTGGTTATATATATCTTTATATATATAACAAGGAATTCCGCGGAATATATAGTTATTGTAAAACAGAAAAATTATAAGTCACGGGAAACTAATATATAAATCGGAAATGATTTACAAGTGGCACGAAATGAAAAATCGGAAACGATCATCTCGGAATAACTAAACAAGAATTAAACCAGTCTAATTTACAATAATTAATATAATTCACCAATAAAATAATTAGCTCACAGAAAATAACCCAAATATTGGAATAAATATTCCAACATTCCAAAATGTAATGGACCATCAAATCTCAGAATTATATTTAAACAAAAGAATTTAAATGACTCAACTTGGCTAAGAAATAACTTGAAAGAGATTCTACACAGAAGATTTAGCCTTGTTCTTTCTTCAAAATACTTCTAATGGTACTATAATTCTTGTGTTCCATAGTAGATCTGATGTAAATTAGCTTCATATTAACTATTTTATATAGAGGTAATTCTATATATCACTTAAGGTAACATAAAACTGATAATTATCATCACATCACAAATGACAAAATTTTGATCCTGAAATCCTTGGTAACACCAATGTTCACTTTGTCTGGTTTTGTTGCAGCATGCCCCATATAATACTAATTGATTTTATATTTATTTTCAGGCAATGAATTACTGTAAAATTAAGCACCACTGATTGTTCAGTGCTTTGGTATAACTAAATTCCCAGAAAATGGAAATTATGCAATTGTTTTAAATTATTATCCAGAGGGAAATTTAAGGGATTATTTGCAAACAAGTCATTTAACATTAAAAGACAAAATTACAAAATTACATTATTTATGCTATACATTAGATGATATACATCAGAAAAATTTAATCCATAGTGATTTAGATAGTGGTAATATACTTGTAGAAGGAGGTGGCTGTTATATTACAGATTTGGGATTATGTGGACGAAAAATCATCAAATAAAGTCTATGGAATTGTATCATATGTTGCACCCGAGTTATTTAGAGGCAAAAAGAACACCAAAGAATCAGATATCTATAGTGTTAGGATGTTAATGTGGGAAATATTTGCAGGTCATCCACCATTTGACAATAGAGCTCATAATCATTGTTTGATTTTTGATATATGTGCAGAAGGTTTACGACCATCAATATTGCTTAGAATGCCTGAAGATTATGCACAAATGATGCAGAGGTGTTGGGATGTGGATCCATCAAAAAGACCAACTAGTAAAGAGCTTTATCAATTTGCTAGAGATAAATGTAATGAAATTTATGAAAATAAAAGTTGAAAAATAATAATAGTAACAACAATAGTTTAATAAAAAGATTATTCAAATTTTCTAAAATCAAAAAACATGATTTTACTACTAATAGTGGTAGTAGTGATTAGCAACAAGTACATGAATCACATCCAGATGCATATCATAAAAGTAGGATATTAGATGAAGAGATTGCTAAATCAAAAAGCTTGAAAAGTTATACAAGTAATAATAGTTCGTTGAATAATCTTGATTTTAACTCTTTTCTCTTAAATGTTGAAGGTGAACAAAAATTCATTATTAATTAATTAATTGGAACTTACTATCCATTAATTATTACCAACAATATTTTTTTAATTCTAATAATTAAAAGAAAGAATTGATAAATAACTAATCTAATATCCTAAACTATTCATTATAATTATTGTCTTTTTATTTTATCTTTTATTTTTATTTCTTAAAGCTAATTATTTTAAAGTAATAAACATTCACAGTTTTTTGGTTCTTGTTAAGTGGTGATATTACGAGGTATCATTTCAGTTAATACCGATTATTTAACAAGTATGCTTAACTTTTGGCTATTCTTGTCAGTTAATTGCAGGCAACTCGCAATAATTCAATTAATTAGTTACAAATTTATTTTGGTTCCTTCTTTCTTGCGCCTAGACGAATTTGTGGGAACACTTAATGGTACCAGATAAATAAAGATGGCCTTTCATTTATTGGCCGATTGCAAACTCGCTTTGGTTTGCTTGCAAAACAATTTAAGTAGCTTGTTTAACAGCCCTACATTTACGATTACAACAACACTACTAGTATTTCCAATTAATCTTTGGACGATACTTCATTAACATCCACCAGTTAATCATAACCTTTGCTTACTCGCTAAGCAAATCACGTTACTAATCTCACTAGTTAACCAACGTTATTCATAACATTGCTTAATTGCTCACTAAACGTGTCTTTTTACCAGAGCTCCATAATTGTTACCTTTTACTAAGGAACTACATTTGTTACTTTTATTGAAGCGCTTTAAACAAAGGAAATAAAAAAACACCATTTTTATTTTATTTTATTTTAAAAGTTTATTAATGTTTAATAAAAATAATGATTCTATCGCAGAATTTATTTTATCAGAATGTTAATTATCTATTATTTTCCTCTGTGAGGTCCAGAAGTTATTGATCACTACAATAAGGAAGGTTATTGCAGAGTAACTTGGTCAATCAATATTATGTTATAAAAAGCTTTTGCGTAAAATTTCAAGAGATAATTATAATTTACACTAAAATTAGTTGACCCTAAAACAAAAAGCATCGATGATTTTATCTAATATTAATATAAGAAATGTTCGAATTTAGTAGTAAATGAGAATTTGTTTGTATTCAGCAAAAGAAAAACTTAGCTACTTGAGAAACTAAGGAAAGATTGGAATACTCGAGAAAATATATATAAAAAAAAGACCTTGGAATATATATTTACAAGTTTTTTTCACGAGCCTTTATATCTTTAAAAGCAATTTTACTTGCGTCATTTTTGACTCAATGGCAGCGAATTTGACGTATATAATAGTTTTACAATTTTGGGGACATTGGGGACATTTCATCAAGCAACATTAGTACAAGTCAAAGTAAATTCGAAAACTAATTAATTGTCAAGCATTGAATTATCGTGAACAATCGCTTGTAATTAACTGACAAGAATAGCCCAAAAGTTAAGTCATCGTCAGTTGTACGTGTTAAATAGCCAAAACATTGCTAATTTTCTATTATATTTTTTTCGTTGGAATTGCAATCTTGATCAAATTAATAAAAATTGTAATGATTATAATTATTGATGTCAGCAGACAGAAAAACAGCCGGTTAAGAACTTGGATAAATTTTTTATCAAATAATAATAACATACTTTTTATGAATTCATTAAAAATCGGCTTTCTTTTGTTATTATTATAATTATAACTATTATTATTATTATTATTATTATTATTATTATTATTATTATTATTATTATTATTATTATTATTTGTTTTATTCGTTGTGAATTGGGTATTCGAATTACATTGGGAGTTTATTCGAGTAAAGCGAATAAAATGAATAAGACGAATAAAGCGAATAAAACAAATAATTCGAATTAATATTAATATTAAGTACAAGATTGAATAGGGAACTCCAACTATTACTATTGCTTTCTTTATTATTATCTTTTATCCTGCTATAAGCATTGTAATTTTTTTTTGAGCAAATGTATGTTTTTTTTATTTTGTCGTTCTAAGTAATGCAGATGGACCCATTTCAACCAATTGTTTATATGAACCACTGAATTCTTTATTAAAATTTTAGTCGTAAAAAAATGAATGTTAAGAGAAATTTTTTTTTATCACCTTAGCCGACTAAGCCGTCCAAAAATTTCGTCACTAATTGTAATAAATAAAGTTCATGCCATTTACCATATTGGATATTTTTTTCGTTTGATTTTAATTGTTTGAAAATTCAGCCGTCGAAGTTGCCTAATGATTTTACCACTTGGCAATAACCTTATAAATTATCAAATATAGTATTAATAAATCTATTAAATGACATTAATGGATTTGGTTAACTATTCAAAGGTCCGACTAATATCAATAGTTGGTTACCGTTGAATTAGTAAATAAAAAAAATCCCGATCCATGTATAAATTCGTGCAATGCCAACTCTACAAATCATATCAGAGTTGACGTAATTGGTGTTGCGATACCTTCAAACCAAAACTCCTCTTTCGAGTTAAATTCTGCTATTACAGTATGTCAGCAGGTAAAAACTCCAGATGTAATTTAAGTTCGAATTGTTTTACCAATACTCGTAGATACAGTCTATGTTTT